CGGGGCTTGTGCGGCTGAGAACCGGGAGTACTTGAAGTCGGTTGCGAAAAATTCCGTCATCTTGTAGTCGTCACCGCTCCCCTCGATAGCACCTTCCGCCTGCGCCTGAGTGGTGATTTCGTGCGTCGAGCCTTGGGCCTTCCAGAGCTCGTTGTAATGGTCCACCCGGCCGTCAACGGCGATCTGGTCCCCATCGTATGACTGCCCGAGTAGACCATGTGGCGCGACCACAAAGCCGTCGTTTCGCTGCGGAGCAAGGGGGTCGCGCTGAGGCGCTAGCGAGAGGTCTATCTGCTTCTTGCCCGGCACTGTCGAGCGCCATATGAGACGTGATGAAGCCTCCAGCCGCCAGCCTGCCGTCTTCACCTTGAGCACCTCCGCTTTGCCGCCTCGCCCTCCCTGGCGACTCTCGATCGCTATGCTCACATCCTCAATCTCGATAGGCTTGTCACCGACGCGCAGCCGCTTCACTGGCGTGCTGCTCACCCCGTGTACAATCGGCGTTGGCGGCTGGTTGGGCGAGTACTCGATCCGCAGCCGGCGGCCAGAGTCGGCGGTCTTGAGTGAGAGGTAGACGTCAGTGACGAACGAGCCACGCACCTTCATGCCGCCCCACCGGCGAGCACACCTTGTTGGAGTTATTCCGCACGTGATTCCGCAATTCCCACATCTGCAAGTTTTACGCCGGTGAAATTGCTATTACGAGCGCAACTCTTACCGTCCACCCCTTCTTCTAAAAACTGTTTCTACGACCTCGTCGGCAACTCTTACCATCCACCTTTGCTTGAGCACTCGAGTGAGCACACACACACACACACACAGACACACACAGTGGTAGCAGGTAGGGTCTCGATCGATTCCGCATGGTGCTCCATGTACATGTGCACGGGACCCCTCGATCGTCTCGCCCTCCCTCACTGGTGTGTTCATTGGGGGGGGGGGGGGGGGTCATAACAAACACGTACAGGATCGAGGATCGAGGACGAGGTGCCGCCGCCGAAAAAT